CAGGGCCACCTGTTCTACGCCTGGCCTCCAGGCCACCAGATGGCAGCATTACCTCCCCCTCAGGTGTCCATGCTGTCTCCAGGCCTGACAGCAATCTCTTTCTAGTCGGAGTTTGGGTTTGTGGTAATAATAGGTGCTCGAGAACATTCATAAGTTAGAGTTCCGCCTGCCACCAGCGTCTTTACTCCCTACTCTGTGCCCAGAGAGCGCCCCCTTGTGTCTGAAGGCCTGGCTGTCCCCGGGCTCAGCGTCTCCGTGCCCAGCGAGGCCTCCTGTGTGTGCATGAGGGGTACTAGTGGCCACGCTCACCTCCCCGTCCATCATCACGCCCACTTTCCACCTGCCTTAGGTGGTTCTCCCCTGAGAGACAGGTGACAGGGCGAGGGAGGGCCCAGCTGCCACGCTGGTGAAGGCCTTGGCACTGGGGAGGGCTGGGGGACAGAGATATCAGTAGCTTCTGCAGGCCTGGCTGGCAGGGCATCATCTTCACACCAGCCCTCATGAGGGCCTGGAAGAAGGAAGCTTCCAGATCACCGAAGAGCCCTTGAGACGCAACCTGAGCGCCAAGAGGAGGGGACACGGCCTCTGGGCGCTGAGGGGGGAGGTGGGGGATCCCCGTGAAGTTCCTTTTTACGTTGTGGCTTTCCAGACTTTCAGGTGTGCCCACAGTGTGCCTTCAGAGAGACAGTCTGAGTCCAGGGGCCCCTCCGAGAGTCACCTGGGAACTTTAACCTGGAGTCCACAGGGCTGAGCTCGCGGAAGTGAAAGTAGCATCTAATGCTCTTCCGCGCCGTCCCAAGTCGTGTGCCGCTTTCTTCTGTGCTCGCAGAGGGTTGTGTGTCTGTGACTGCAGCGTCAGGCTGCTGCCCTACAGCCTCAAGTTCACTTCTCAGGCCACTCCTGGTGGGCAGCGTTCTGCTCCCACTGGCCCCTTGCAGAGAGCAAGGTGCCCATAGACCCTAGAGGTGGGACACAGGCAGAGGCTCAGGACCGGGCTCTGGGGCCTGTGACACTGAGGTGGCAGAGCAGTCACGCCCTCCCCAGCCTGCCGTAAGCACTGATGTCCAAACAGGGACGTAAGTCTTGAGGCCCAGGGATGGCAGCTTCCATCCTGAGGTGCAGCAGGACCTCAAGAGGCTCCAAACAGGGGACAGAGGACCCAGTTTCTGGTCCCCTGTGGCAGTGGGAGGAGTATTGTGGGGCCAGGGCACTCATGTTTCAGTCCAGGCTGCCTCAGGCAAGTGCAGTCGCCTGGGTGGCTTATAAACAGGGGAAGTTTATTTCTCACTCTCCAGGGGGCCGGAAATGGATCTGGGTGACAGGGCGTCGGCACCTGTCATGTTGTCATACCCTCACAAGGCTCCTGTTTATAAGGGCGCTAATTTCAATCTTTGAAAAAAGATACCAATAAGCCCAGGGTGGTGGCACACCCCTGTAATTCTAACACTTGGGAGGCTGAAGCAGGAGGGTCGCCATGGGTTCAAGACCAGTCTGAGCTACATAGTGAGACCCTGTCACAAAAAAATAAAATTAAAAAGATATTAACATATTTGTTATCGAATTCTTACTTTGTTGCCAGCATTGTGCTCATATCTTTACAGGAATTTATTTATTTGTTTTGTTTTGAGTACAGGGACTTTTTATTTTTTATTTTTTTATTTTAAAGAGAGTAGTAAAAAAGAACAATAGCAGCATACCAACATCACAAACATAAAAGAGAGCAAGCACATTAAAAGTGATACAGGGTTTCAAAACAAAATGACAGGGATTAACAGTGGTTGTTATATTCCATATTGTTATCTTCAGCTACGTTGCTCAGATTACCAGATGTAAGAATGGAAGATTGTTCAAACCATTAAAGAGAATAGAAAAATAATTATTAGATAAAACATTGGCAATGATACAGATTTTCACTAGACAAGATGGTAGGAGTTCACCAGTGGTTCTTTCATTGCTTATTGTTGTCTTCAAATCAGTTGCTCAGATTACCAGATACAAGCGTGCAAACTTGGTCAGAACATACAAAATTGTAGCATTAACTGTGAATTTAGTCACAACATCCCAACAGTTTCCGACAAGGTTGGGTGCGTTCAGGGTGGGATGGCTGTGGACAACACCCTGACAATTTCAGTGGCATTTCCATTTTACAGGAAGAGAATTGAGTAACAGACCACTTAATTCAGTTGCCAATAATGGTAGAATCATTAGGGTAGAGGGCAAGCCAGGCCTCTATCAAAAAAATACATAAATTTAAAAATTAGCTTTCACGGGTGATGGCATTTATTAAAGCACTGCAACTTTTAAAGTTATATGTCCCGCTCTTGGTTAGCAGATTTATTCAATAAGAAACCTATTTTCTGATTTAAATTTTCTTGTAACTTTTAGTTCAATCCTAAAACAAGACCCACTTTTATATTCATACATAGTAACGGTGACGGCGAACCTTTTAGAGCTTTGGGTGATGACAGACAGCCGGCTGTGCCCCAGGTAGCCGCCGCCACCGCGCTAGTGAGGCGCGCAGTCTCCAGAGCATCTAGTTCAGATTTCCATATGTCATTGAAGGAGCATCCACAATAGTGCCACAGCGCTGCCCTTGATGACACAGCTACTCTACCCAGGTTTCAGGTCTTTGGTGCGGAGTTCTTGTGTAAAATTGTTATCAGCGCACATTTGCAGAACCTGATCGCATCTTGTGTGGGGAGTTGGTACGAGTACGTGATACATCTTAATTCTTCTTCTCATTCCCTTCCTTTCTCCTTCCCTCCCTCCCTCATGACCTATTCGGCTGCCCCAGGCCCCACCTGATCCCATCCCCCTGGAGGTGAGGGTGCTTACATGTCAGTGGAGGCTGGGACACAAACTTCGGGTTCTGAGGGTCCCACGGGAGGACTGGGGTGGGATTGCAGGTGATCTTCAGACTCCAGGTAGGACTCTTCTGCTCCCTGGGGAAGCGGTGAGGAGGGCAGATTGGACTCTAGCCAAGCAGACAGGAGTGCACCGGGGGCCCGGGCTGCAGAACTCTAAAAGGATCAGAAGTGGAGCCAGGTGTGCTGGCCTGCACCTGGAATCTGTGCACTTTGGAAGGCCGAGGCAAGAGGACTGCAGGCTCGAGCCCAGGCTGGGCAGCTTAGTGACTTAACAAGCTCTGCCTCTAAAGAAACGACTAGGTCCGGGGCTGTAGCTCAGTACCGAGGCCCTGGGTTCCCTCCTGAGTACCCTAGAAAAGATACGGAGATGAGATGAAGGAGGTCCTGTCCGGGGGAAGAGGCTGTGCCTGTCAAAGAGTTTGGGGGACATTTGGGACCATGGCTTGGCAGTGGATTTCTGATGGCACTGATTGTCCTGGGAGGACCATCCTCTTTCTACCCGCACACCCAAAGGAAACAGGCTAGAGTTTTGCAGAACGCTGGGGCAGACAAGCAGGGCAGAGAGGCACGGGGGTGAGGGTACCGGGCAGGCGTGGTGGAGGTGATGGGCAGCGGCGTCCTGGCTGGCTGGGCTCACTGGCACAGCACACGGGGAGTGGAGGGGAACCACGGGACAGCCAGCAGGGAAAAGGGAAGGTCAGGAGGCTGCTGGCGACAGTGCCAGGGAAGTGTAGGGCAGTTGGCCCTGTGACACTGGAGTAGCTGGCAACATGGGAGGGCAGTCAGGGCACGAGAAGGAAATTAGGAGCCAGGGTGAAGTCCCCCACAAAGGACGGCTCTGAGTGGGAGATGTGTAATGATGAGGGGATGAAGGCAGCCATCCTGGGCCTAAGAGGAAGGCTGAATATTGCGTAGACTACAGCCAACTGCAGCCCCAGGGCCAAATCCTTCTGGCTATAGTTTTACTGGGATATAGAGCTACCCACTCATTTCAGTATCATCTGTGATTGCTTTACAGTCCAAACACAGAAGTGAGCCCTTGAAGCAGAGCACAAGGCTACAGTAGGTGCCGTCCGGCCCTTTCCTGGAAAGTTTGGCCAGCGCTGTTCTGTACGGGAGCCACTAGCGGCTAGCACATGGCCTTTGATATTTCAGTTAATTAAAACACAGTCATCTCAGTGTCCCTGGGGATGGTCCCAGAGTCCTGTGGATTCCCAAATCCATGGCTGCTCTCAGTCAGCGTGTGGGCCCTGCCCAGGCAGTGCTGGGCACCTGTCCCTGCAGGAGCTTTCACTGGGTGCCCGCCCACCGGAGGCCGCTGCGCACTGCTCTGGTATAAAATGCCGATATCTCCATATAACCTCACTGTAAATCGTTGCCACATGCAGCGCAAATGCTGCGTGAGTAGTTGTCATACTGTGTGTTCAGCACAGACTCCCCGTCGTAGGTCTCACTCTACAGCACACCATCCGGTTTTGGTCCAGTCTACAAACACAGAGCGATAATTACATGCGGGAAAAAGGTTCAGCCTGCACTCGCAGGAGACACCGTTCAAGCACCCAGGGTGCACGTGGCCAGCGGCTGCTGTCTTGAGCCACACGGGGACAGAACGCCCTGGAAGTTCTGTCGGCCTACCGTCGGCCTACCGTGGTCTAGGGGCAGCGGGTGGAATGAGGACTGCGCTGCCCAGCCTGGGCCTGAGTTGTAGTAGAAGAGCGGCCACAGGCAGCAGGGCCCACGGGACAGGCTGGAGGAGGAGAGCTGGCACTTGCGGATCACTGCCCCCAGATCCCGCGGGCTCCACGGAAGGCGCGGAAAGCGCCATCGGGTTTGGGAAGCAGCGCCTTCCCCGCACGATACCGCACGTGCCTGTCGCCTTGGAGCTGAGCTACCTCCAGTGGCCCTCCTGACGCTTCGCGCTTTCTTCCGGCGCACGTGTTGATTCTGTGCAGTGACCGCCGCAGGCACGGCGGCGTGAGGAAGGAAGCAGCCGCCCCAGCCAGCTGCAGCTCCCGGAGGCTCATCCCTTCCCGTGCGCTTGTCCTGGCTGCCTCGTGCTGGTGCCAGGGCCAGGCTTTCGAGTGCTTTGTCCGCGATGTCTCTCTGGGGAGACCTCACTCTGCGCCCCCTCAGTTCCAGGGCCCTGTGAGCCGGAAGACCTCATCGATGGGATCATCTTTGCTGCCAACTACCTGGGGTCCACCCAGCTGCTCTCTGAACGCAACCCCTCCAAAAACATCCGCATGATGCAGGCGCAGGAGGCCGTCAGCAGGGTCAAGGTGGGCCTGCTGCTGGGGCCCCGGGGACGCCCACTTGGGAGGGCTCCTCTGGGGAGTGCAGCAGTGGGGGACGCAGCGGGGTACAGGCATCCCGTCCAGCTCTGACGGCACTGCCCTCGGTGCAGAGTGGAAATAGCCAACGCGCCCGACCAGGCCGAGGAGATTTGCACCATGACTGGGCAAATGCTAGGCTGGGCACAGAGGCCATCGGTTCCTTAATAAGGAACAGTCCACCCAGGCCCTCGGAAACACAGCTTCTTAAAGACAGTTGTTCTAAACCATTCCCGTTATAAAACATGTTTGTTTGATGCCTCAAATCCTATTTCAACAATGCGTGTATTTTTAGCACCATTCAAAATACTCCCAGAAAAGGGAAAATAAATCACGTTTTATTTAAGTGCATGACCTCAAGGAAAACTCAGACATGCTTGCAGCTCGAGGTGCATGTCGGGCTGTCCGCTTTTGCACAGCAGGTGAGGATGGACAGGGAAACAGTGAGGCCACATTAAAAAGCCAGATGGGGTCAGGGGAGGGAACGTGCAAGTCTGAGGCGGTGCCCCCTCTGGGCAGAGAGAGCGTTGTTTGCCCTCTCCCCTGGCTTCTCTGCCCACCCCACACTGACCCCCAGTGGTCAGCACAAGGCTGTCCGTGTTGGCCAGGAGGAAGCGAAGCAAGCGAGGGGCGGTGCTGACCCTGCAGCCAGTGCCCCTCAGCGGAAGACCTGGGTCCTCTGGCCCTGACCAGGCGTGGCTTGCTGCGCTGCCTGCCGTCCTCCTCAGTGGCCCTGTGAACAGAGACGCTGGTCGTCATTCCGGGCCCTGGAGGGCCGTGTGTGTGAGCCTGTCTGGATCGGTGTGTGTGCGGGACACAGGCAGGGGGTCCTGCCTGTCCCCACGGGGGCTTCTGCTGGACACCAGATCTGATGCTGGGGTGTTGAGCCCAAGACTGAAATAACCCTACTGCCCCTTCTCCTCTACACCCACTGCTTTTCTCTTCTCTTACATGCTGCTCAGAGGATGCAAAAGGCTGCTAAAATCAAGAAAAAAGCGGTGTGTAGGACCGTTGTTTCGGGAACCGTGGTGTGTGTTTGTGTGTCTGTGGTTTGCCTGTGCAGTGGGGGCTTCCAGGGAGATCCAGATAATGTACCGCAGAGCTGTGTCTCCCCTTCCTTCGGCAGGTGAATACTAGACTTTGGAATGAAACTGCAGATACTGTCTTTGACCGCCCACTCGCAGAAGAGTTTGATGTCTGCTCTTTTTCATTTTTCTGTGTTAGATTCTCCTATGTCCTAAAGCATGGCTAATGCTGTGAAGTCCCTGTTTTATGGGGACATTTTTAAATGGCAGTGTGATACATCCAGCATATATAGGGCCCCCCATATAGCATGAATTATATTTTTCTGGTATTGAGACGTATTAAGTTTCACTTACCAATTCAAGACAATGAGTCGCTCAGTTGGCCTGGGAGATGCTTTCTCTGTTGACAGTAATTTTTGGAGCTTGAGCAGACTTTTAGAAAAAGAACAACTAGCTGGATGTGTGGTCCTTTGTCAAGCCGGTCATGTGGTGAATCTGGTGATTTTCTAACTGCTCTCCTCACACAGAAGTCATCAAAGTGTGGGAAGGAGCGGGAAAAGCCCATGGAGACTTGGCTCTGGTTTGTTGCCTGCCTTCTGCTTACGCAAGGAGAGATGCAGTCCTCCCTTCCCCGCTGTAATAATGGGGTTTTCTGGCCCCATGGCCAGGACACCCCATCTGCAGGCTCCCTGCCCCTGCAGTGAATGTTCTGTCCACCTTCAGGGACCAGAGAAAAAAGAGCACACTCACGTCCCTGTACCCACACAGAGCAAAGCAGAACGGCCCCCAATACAGACCTACAGCTGCACCGTGCTGCCTTCTGCAGCCTCGGTGCACCCCTGGGCCGCCCAGGCCTGAGCACAGCTGGAGCAGAAGCGCCCCAGCTTGCTCCTAGCGTCTGCAGGGTCAGAAACCCGATAGAGTCACTGTCTCTGGAGGGGCTGAGCACAGGCAGACCCGGCTGAGAAAGGCCTCAGTGGCCAGGTTCCGCTTGGTGACAAGTTGTTCTTCCTCTCCGAGCAGTGACACACCCAGGACCACTCGCCCCGAGCTGGCCAGGCGTGTGCTGATGGCTGAGCCCCATCCCTGACACCCCAAGCCCGCACTTCTGCTGGGGTGTCCCTTTGCAGGATCTGGGCAGCTGCCCCCTCTGTTTGTCTGCCAGGGTGTGATACGGGTGGCCTTTCCCCTGCCGTGTTACTGTTCGGGTGTCAGCTCCATTCACTCGACCCTGGCCCACGTCCCTGTCCAAGCATGGCGCCACTGTCACCAACACCAAAATCCGCCCACAACCTTTCTGGCTTTCTTCTGGTTTGGGCTCATGGTTGAGCGAGGGGATTTTGATCTGCAATCCTCAGAATGTAACTTTCAAAAGTCTCTTAGTGGTGACTGTAGCCTGATGTTTTAAAACAAAGAAAAATCTCCTCCACAGCCCTCGACATCATTTTTCAGATGGATTGTCTAGAACCCTGTTCTTTTTTTGATCAGTTAAAAGCAGTATCGTCCTGGGATACACCGAAAGCCCACGAGATCTCTTCCTTTGAAAACTGAGCTAAAATACAAATTTATCATTCTAATACAGGGCCTCTTGGTGACTCAGAATTCTTGAGGAATAGTCAGCGGGGATATTTTTGATTTGAGATTTGCTAGTGAGTTAATTAAATCACAGCTTCTGCTGTTTTGAAGTGGAGGATGTACCACCGCGGGCTCCCGAGTGACCACACTGAATTACCCCCCCCCCCCCCCGCCCCCGTCGGGCAGACCGGTGGAGCCTGGTTTCCATCAGCACTGCACAGTAGTAATTAGGATTCTCACAGGTGTAAAAACCAATTAGAGGCTGCCCTGCTTTGGGGCAGATCTTGAGTAGATTGCTCAGCTTCCCAGACAGTCCATGGAAATGTAACTCACAGTTGTGCACTGGACTTCCTCCGGTGGGGGCGGCAGATCAGGGGCATTTGTGTGTCAGCTTCTGCCCGTTTCTCTGTGTCGCCGTAGGGTGCACTGGTGCCCCTCCTGAACCTCACTCCCCTTCTGGTTTTTGGGGGGCGGGACCGAGGGGATCCACACCATCGCGCCTGTTCACACCAGAAAAGAAGGGCTGAGATTTTAATCCAGCTCCTGTGAAAATGTCCCCAGGGATACTTGGAATCCCCTAAGAAACAGCTTTTAATCGAATGGCGCTGCACCTTCACTGAATTCCACAGAGGGTAGCAGAGGGGCCCAGCTTGCTGCAGAAAGGAGGGGCTCCGACGCAAGAACCCCCACCCCCAGCAGCTATTCCCTTGCCGGTCCAGCCTCCCAGAAACCCCTTGCCTCCCTCTCCTCTGTGCCTTGTACACACTGCTCTGGGGACTCACGCACGGCTCTGGATTCTCAGCCAGGCTTGTACATCTCCAGTGGCTGCTCCACTCTGAAGTAGCATTTCCTTCCACGCGGACTCAGGGTAATCGGCAAAACTGCCAGGCCTTCGCTGGAGAGCACGCTTCAGTTTGTAACGGCATCTGCTGTCCTTCCTTAGAATTCCGAGGGGGATGCCCAGACACTGACAGAAGTGGACCTCTTCATCTCCACACAGAGGATCAAGGTTTTAAATGCAGACACACAGGTAAGGGCTCAAAGGACAGCTGTCTGGGGTTGTGCAAACCAGCTCCCAGGTTTGCACCTTGGGAACCCTGGAGAACAAAGCCCAGCTGCAGAAGCATGTCCCCAAGCGTGGGAGGGGACCCACGGGTGCTGGGCTCCCAAGGGTGGCGATTCTGCGGCCTGGGTGGAAAATAGAGCAACCTGCAGTGTGCCAAGGAGCAGGAGTAAACCCACCTGGGAGGTTGTGCTGAAGCCGCAGCTGGGATTACACAGGGACACGGTGAGGGGGTCAGTGAGAGGCCAGTTGGGAAGCGTGTGCTCTGCCGATCGGGATTCCAGAAGGGCTGTCCTGAAAGCCCTCTTGCTCAGCCTGCGAATCTAGCTGGAGGTGGGAATCTTGGGGCCCTGTAGCTCCGCATGGTGGTGTTCCCGTGAAGCGTGTCTGTAAACTTTCCCCCGGGATTCATTTGCCTCCTGTGGTGGCCAGCTTGTGTCTGAGGCAGATTCTGCTATTCTTTTCTGGGCCTAAATCACCCAGTGGAGCTTCCCTCTGAAAGGGAAAATAGTGAAACAGATAAATGAGCAAAAAGTGACCGTGTATGAAATATAAAGGACTGCAGAGCTGAGATGGGGCCTGAGAGGGTGGGAGTCGGCGAGTGCTGAGTAGGTGCCAGTGTTGGGAAAGACCCACAGCTGTGCTTTCTGGCTGGGATTTGACGTGTGAGGACTCAGAAAGAGAGGGAAGGGAACCCGCTCACCTTGAGCCAAGTGAGGATGGCCTGATGCCCGGGATAGAAGCCACCTGCAATCTGCCAGTGACACTCCGGACCCTGTGGGTACTCAGATCCCCAACAAACCAGTGCTTGTGCCTCTAATGGTCTTGCCCTCATTGCTTACAATATTTGAAGTGCAAGGTGTTGATTTTCTAATGATACCGTGCTTTCTATTTATTGTTTGTTTGCTTTAGTTTTTGTCTTTTTGAGACCGAGTTTCACTAATCAGTTCAGGCCTTGAACTCACTTTGTAGCCCAGGCTGGCCTCGAACTTGCAGTGATCCTCCTGCCTCAGCCTCCCGAGTGCTGGAATTACAGGCATGAGCAACCACGCCTGGCATGTTTTCTGTTTTTGTTATCTGACATTCTCCTGTGGAAAGTGTGCTCTGCTTTTGTTTCCCCCTTCCTCCTCTTCACTGTGGCCTTCGTGATCCTGCCCCTGTCTGTCTGTCTCTCTCTTTCTCTCTGAACTTGTGTTATCATTTTGGCATCTTCCTGAGAGCATAAGATATATACCCCGCCCCAGACCTGGAATCAGCCATTTCTTCAAGGGTCGGCAGGTTCCTCTGAGTGAGCACCACTGCACAACCCTAGTTTCCAGCAGTAGGGCATCTTCTTCATTCACTGCCTGTGCTAGTCAGCTTTCCACTACTGCAATAGATGACTCAGAAGTTGAGATAATCAGCTTGAAGAGAGGAAAGGTTTACACCAGCTCAGTTTGGGGGGTTTGCGTCCGTGGTCAATAGCCTGTTGGTAAGAGGGCCTGTGGCAGCCCACCATGGTGGGAAGACGTGGGAGAGGAAGCTGCTCACCTCAGGGTGGCTGGGAAGCAAAGAGAGAGGGGAAGGACGGGCCAGGTGCTGATGTCCCCTTCCAGACCGACCTCCCCTTGCTGGGCCTCGCTTCCTCCAGGGTCAGCCGCCTCCCAGTGGTGCCACGGGGTAGGGACCAGGCCTTCAATGCACATTTGGGGTCTCAGCTATGGTACTGTCTCCTGTGATCTACACAGAGCCCACATTATGGGCTGGGGGACAAGGAAACGAGCTCGGCAGGCCACAGGCAAGCAGGATGTCACTGCTCAGGGCTCAGTGGGCCTGGGGTGGATAGGAAAACTGCCGGGAACTCTGAGCCCTCCCTTGCTTCCCTCCTCATGGGGAAGCCTAACATTTGGGGCACAGTATGAAGTGAGGCACATCCGGGAGCTGGGCTGACTTCATCATGTGGCCTATGCCATGGCCCACTTCCAACCCCAGGGCCTTGTTGCCTGCCCTCCCCCACCAAGGCCTTCAGTACCTTGAGCCCAATGCTGTGACTCTCCATCCTTGTCACGTATCTGTTCTCCACGTTTGACCTGAGCCTTGACATCCTGATTGTTATGTGGCCTGAGCCACCTCCCTTGCAGCCTTGCCCTTGGTGAGAACTTGAGGAGCTGACTTCAAACGGGTAGGGTATCCCACTGGTGATGCTCCTGACTTGGATTTAAGTTTCATCATCTTGTCTTGGCAAACTGTCTGGGCTGGTTCACCCTCCTACCCCTCTGGCCTCCACCCCTCCTCTACCCAGACTCAGTGGTTCCCAAGGAGATCTCAAGGACTTAGCATGTTGCTTTGCTTATGGCTAAGATGTGTTACATCCTGTGACTGCAGAGCAAAATCACCACGTTGGTCAGCTTTCCGTCACTGTGACAGAACACTTGAGGGAGTTAGTCTACAGGGAGGAAGGGTTTATGTTGGCTCTCAGTTTCAAAGGTTTCAGCCCATGGTCATTTGGCCCCACTGCCTCGTGGTGAGAGCACAAAGGAGAAAAATCTGCTCACCTCATGGCAGTCGCGGGGGCAGACAGAAACAGGAAGGGGCTGGGGTTCCTAATACCCCCTTCAAGGGTGAGCCCCAATGACCTAACCTCCTTCCGCCAGGCCCCGCTTCTTAAAGTTACCTCCCAACACTGCCGTGGGCTGGGGACCAACTTCCAACACGTGGGCCTTTGGGAGAGACTCCAGAGCCAAAGCGTAAGAGTGAGAAAAGGGAAGGTGTGTGGGCAAAGGTCAAGGCAGAACTGGTAGTTCCCAGAGTCCTCTTTGGAGTCACGTGCAATGTGCTGGACCCTCCTAGAGACAGGTATGACAACACGTGCGAAGAGTTCTCCACCAGGAGGCTCATGGACGTCACACCGAAGGTCTTTACCAGGGGTCTGGGAGCCAGGGGTCTGCCAGGCATGTAGCACAATTCCAGCTTCCCAGGAAGAAAGGAGAGATCAGCGTGGGCCACGTCGTTGGCACAGGTATTTCAGTCAGTGCATCACACTTAGCAGTTAGGTGGTGGTACCCCTCCTGAAGCCCAGCTTGCTGGACACTAGCCGAGGGCAGACCTCAAAGGCCGGCCTTCCTTGGGACTGCTGCGTGGGCTGTGACAGTAACTGTTCTCTGCACCCACACTCTTGCCAATTTCTCTGAGGGTGCCGCAGCCCAGGGAGGGCAGATGGGCCATCGGTAGTTTGTGAGTTTGCTCCAAGTCACCACTTAGGGTGAACTGGAAGAGAAGGTTGCAGCAGGAAATTGGTTTGACTGAAAAATAAAAATGTTGGCAGAGGAGCCGGACAGGTGGGAGTAGGTGAGAGAGACTGGAGACTGCGGTGGCCGGCTGGGCAGGAGAGATGACGGCTGCCACGTCGGTAGCTGGCCTTGGCCAGTGAGAAGGGTTCTGCCATTGACATAGATTGGGAGCTAGGGACCGAACTGAGCCCAAAATCAGGAGACGCTGAAGAGCTACCCACGCTCTTCCCTTTTCCAGGGCCCTCCTTTGTGTCCTGTGGTGATAAACCATTGTCATAGCCTTGGCCAGAAAACAGGTCCCCCTGCTAGACAAATGTGTGCAATATCTGCTGCAAGACAAGGATTCTGTGAGGAAAAAGGGACAGCAGAGGTCGCAGAAACACCCGGTTTCCTTTTGTGACGGGAGAACAAAGGCACAAAAGACCAACTGATTAGTTTTCAGTGCCTTTGTGTGCAGCCTTGTTAGCCGGGGGACCCTGGCTGAGATGTTCGGTGAAGAGTTCTGTCAGACCACAAAAACTACCCAGAGTAATGGACCCGCTGGGGGCCAGGGAGGTGAAGTTGCCCATGGAGACCCATTGCTCAGAGGCAGGTGTACTCCTTCAGTGTCTCCTGGCACGGGCCCAGGACGCATCTGGTGGAAAATGTTGACCTGGGTGCCTTCCTCCTCTGCAGAACAGGGCCAGGCACCCTGGAGCCTGCAGGAGGACACAGACCCTGCAGGAAAGGCGCTTCTCCAGAGCTGAGGATGACCTCTAAGCAGGGAGGGCACACGGCTTGCCATAGGGCAGGCTCCCTGCTCTCCTCCAACAGATAGGGAGAGCCGCACCCCAGCCTCAGGCTCCTCGAGCGTAGGCAGAGCCAAGAGTTGATCCCCCGACCCTGAGTCACCATCTTAAAATGAGCTCTGGTAGCTAAGCTGTAGTTCTCAGGACAGCGATGTCCTCTACCTTTGGGCATTTGACAGTGGCGAGAGATACTGGTTTCCTCTCTTGGGGAAGGGAGGCGCCCCTGGCATCCAGTGGTAGAGGCCAGGCTTGCCGCTGACATTGTCCAGGGGCAGGACAGCCCTCTGCAGTAAACCACGGTCTCGCTCCGAATGTCAGTAGGGCCAAACCAGAGTACCTCTTCACAGCTCAGCCTTGTAACAGTCCTAAGCGGGCCGATCTCCCTCTGTCAACAGGAAACCATGATGGACCATGCGCTGCGCACCATTTCCTACATCGCCGACATTGGGAACATCGTGGTGCTGATGGCCAGACGCCGCATGCCCCGGTCGGCCTCGCAAGACTGCATCGAGAGCACGCCCGGGGCGCCGGAGGGGAAGGAGCAGTGTAAGATGACCTGCCACGTGTTTGAGTCGGAGGACGTAAGTGGTGCTGGGGGGCACGGATGCCTTGGGGTCACCGTTCATGTTCCCAGCAGCATTAGGGATTCCTCCCACATTTTTGGGTTTCTGAAGACAGTGAGCACAGCTTTATTTTACTTCATGAAATAGGTTCCTCTCCGTTGGAGCTACTTATAAATTGAGCAACAGAGAATATACAAGGGGAGCTATCTGTCAGAGAAATCTTTTTTTTTTTTTTTTGTCTTTTTGAGACAAGGTCTCCCTGTGCAATTCAGGCTGGACTTGGGCTCACTTTGTAGCCTAGGCTGGTCTGCAACTCGCAATGATCCCCCTGCCTCAGCCTCCCAAGTGCTGGGATTACAGGCGTGCACCACCACACCCGGCTTAGAAATCATTTTATAAACCTTTGCCTCTCTAAAATAAACCTAATCTTTCCCTAACTTTTCTGTTGTTAAAGTGTACCTTTTCACAGGCCAGGACTGCATGAGAGAGAGGCACAGAAACCTCTGGATTGAGCTCTGCCTTTGCATATCTCATTTAATCTCAGAACTAATTTTGGTTTCACTTTAAAAAATATCTTTTAAGACAGGCATGGTGATGCACACCTGTAATCCCAGCTCTCTGGGAAGCTGAGGGAAGAGGATCCCAAGTTCCAGGACAGCCTGGATCAATTAGTGACTTAGTGAGGGCTGGGGGTGTGGGGATGTAGCTCAATACAAAGGCCCTGGGTTCAATCCGCAGTGCTGCCAATACAAATGGAGGTTTAAAATACCATAGATGTACTAAGAGACCATGGAGTGGCGCATGCCTGTGGTCCCAGCTACTACGGAGACTGAGGCAGAAGGATCTTCGCTTGAGTACAGTTTGGGGCCAGCATGGGCGACATAGTAAGATCCATCTTTAAAAAATTAGTGAGCTGAGAAGTTGGATCCTGGGCCCTTGCCAGCTTCTCCTGCAGGCTGGGCCGAGCGGGGGCGCTGTGCCGAGCCAATCTTGTGGCTGTTGTCAGAGTGGGGTATTTAAACATCATCCGCTCTCCGCACACCCATCCCCCCAGTCCAGCCTTTGGCAGAGGCCACCCCATTTTAGGCAGCAACGGCTGCCAGGAGGCCAGAACCTCCTTGTTCACACAGGAGTCCTAGTGTCCCCAGGACCTGGATCCCTAGGGAAGGGTCCCGTTATGTTCCTGACTGTGAAATAATAGAAACTGTATTTGAAACAGATTTCAAACTCATAGGTAGGGGCAATCATCTTTTTCCCAAAAAAACCATCACCTTCACACGCTTTGAAGCAATAGCAGATTCGTAGGAGAGGACATTATTTACACGCAGAGCTCCTAGCGCATCTATGCGTACTTCCTGCCGTTACGCAGAGGCCTGTGCACACCTGGACAGAGGCTTTGCCATGACTGGGAGCCCAGGGCTGCGCCGAGTCCTGGGCTGCTCAGCTGGTGGGCAGTGTGGGGGAGAAGCAGGCCAACAGCAGAGGGGGAGCGGTCAGCTCGTGTGAGGGCTGAGAAGGGGCCAGGGCCAGGGATGGCCTCCGAGGCACAGCCTGCACAGATGGCTCTGGGCGGTGTTAAGGCCGGTGCGCTCCTGTCCACAGTGGCCACAACTTTCTCCGTTCAGCCGATGACAAAGCCCGTGGCATGGTGGGAGGTCGGGGAGTGGCCCCGCAGTGGCCTTGGAAGGAATGAGGGAGGACCCTGCCCAGATAGACTGTGAGGGCCCAGCAGGGAGGCCGAGAGAGTAGCACTGACCCGTTGGCCCGGAGTCCCAGCTCCGCTCGGTAACATGGAGCTCAGTCGCGATGCAGCCGGGGCTAGGGCAGGGGAGGCTGCACTGATGAATGTGCTGGGGTCAGCAGCCAGGGCACGGCAGCTCCCCCTCCATCTTCTTGAGGACCCCCAGCCTCTGAGGCCAGTCTGCCTATGCCAGGCCCCTCACTGGGTGGCCTCGACCCTGTCCCTGCCGGGGCTCCCAGCCTTACAGCGCCGACACACCCAGGCCTGGCCGTGCGCCGGAGCGCAGGGAGCCTTGTGTGAGGGCTCCAGTGGGGCACAGACGGGCCCTCAGCGCGGGCCCCCGCCCAGTAGGACGAAGCCTGACACAGGCGGGGGGGACGTGGCAGCCGTCAGGATGCAGGGGCTTGTGCCAGAGGGTGGTGGTGCCCACCCCCAGGGCAGCTCCTCAAGAGCATCTGCTGGGTCACGGTGAGAGGCGATAATGTGGCCCCAGCAGAGGGGGCTGGAAGGGTGGGTGTCAGGAGCACCCCAGGTGGAGTGCCAGGGCAGCGGCCAGTCGGAGCCAGCGAATGGTGAACGGATGTGATCCTGTCAGACTGCCCCTCCCGGCCTGGTGACTCCTTCAGGTGGGAACAGAGCAGGTCAAGTGGGGGCTCTGTCCACTCAGATCTCGCTGGGACAGGGCGCCCCCTGCCCCCTGCCTTCCCCTCCCTCCCTGCAGCCCGCCTCCCCTCCTCCAGTCTCCACACGGAGCCCCTCTGCCCCTGCGGCTGGCTCTGCCCCCGCTGCTTGCTCTGCCCCTGCGGCTGGCTCTGCCCCTGCTGCTGGCTCTGCCCCTGCTGCTGGCTCTGCCCCTGCTGCTGGCTCTGCTCCTGCTCAGGCCGGTGGCGCCACCTGGTGGTACCCAGGCAGCCAGCCGGCCCGCCAGCGCGTGCTGGGTTTGGATCAGCCATGGAGTTGCCGCGTCTGTCCTGCAGCCTGTTGAGGGCCTGATGATGGCAGGGCAGTTCGACCTAGAATTGGCGCCTTCTTAAGGAAAGGTCTGCGTGTCCTGTGAGCTGGTGGGCAGCTCTTTTACCTATGCAGCTTCACTTCCTGCGCATAAAGTATGTGTTTTGCAGAGTGAGAAAGGAACATAGGCCGGATCCCCCCTTTTCACCTGTTTTGGGGTTCTGTTGAGCCAAAGCTGGCTGTGCAGAGGCCCCCTGAATGGCAGGGGGCGCTGTGGGGAGCAAGGGGCAGGCCTGGGCTGGGGAGAGGCGCTGCTGTGCCCTGAGATGCCGTCGAAAACCCTCTGCTCTTGCACACACTGCACAGCAGCGGGCCTGCTTGGTGGGCCTTCAGCCGTCGCCTTTGTGTCCCCTGCTGCATCCTGCAGGTGGCAGGCAAGGCCCTGATTGCTGTCTTGGTGTCCAGACCTGTGCCGATTGAGTGTCAGTGCACCCACAGGAGCAGTCCGGTTGAAGTGCAAAGTGGCGATCCGCTCCAAGGGGTCTGTGCTGGCGTCCCCGGGGGTCAGGCACACCCCTGTCTAGAGAGGAGCCAGTCAGCGCTCAGCAGTAGATGTGGAGTAGACAGTTACACACCTGTGACAGTCCCAGGAAAATGCTGCAGATCTGTTTTTGAAATGAGATGGAGAAAATGAAAGTACAGTACACCTACCAGTTAAAGCAATAAAATGTGACATTTAGCAAAAACTTCATCATCTTCCTGATTTTATTTGAAACCAGGCTTTGCCCTGGAATGTCTGGGACATAAAATAGCTCAGAGAGGCAGAGTCAAGACTGGGCCCTTGTGGTCAGGAGGCAGAAAGGGTCACTCCACGTGGTACCTGGCAGGATATTGGTCGAAGATGCCTTTCACCAGCCAGGGTCCGGAGTCACTGTCTTGTGCCCGTCTCCGCTTAAGACTTACGGGCCTTCTGCACCCAGCCCTGCCGCAGCCCATCTTTCCCCAGGGGCTGGGCCTCTGTGCCTGTATCTATGGCCTCTGCTCTCGCCCCACAGGCCCAGCTGATAGCCCAGTCCATCGGGCAGGCCTTCAGCGTGGCCTACCAGGAGTTTCTGAGGGCCAACGGCATCAACCCGGAAGACCTGAGCCAGAAGGAGTACAGCGACATCATCAACACCCAGGAGATGTACAACGATGACCTCATCCACTTCTCAAACTCGGAGAACTGCAAGGAGGTAAGGCGCAGCGCTGTGGGCCTTGGGAAGCCCATTCTGCTGCCTCCTGCTCCCCGTGCTGAGCTTGCAGAGCGGAGCCAGGCTGCCTCCCGGAGGGCCTGTCCCAACGATGCCCGGGGCGTCCCGGCTCAGCTTGCTGCGCTTGGAGGCCACAGCTTCACTGGTCTTCACACATGCCACTGCCTCTGCCTCAGACGCGGGCGGCCTGCGGGGGAGCTCTGGCTCCTGTCTCAGAGCTGAGCGCTTGTGTGTGAAATGAGACAATTCTAACAAAGACGCTGGTTACAATCAGTCTTAATGACCTTGAAAAGCTGCTTTTTAATGCTGCTGTTATCGTCAGCTGGTGCTCAGCATCCAGGAGATATTTATGAACAGCGTACGGGTGGCATCTTTACGGTAGGAAACTTGGATCCCCTGGTAGGGCAGTTGTGAAGCTGCCAGTAGCAGAGGCCTCAGCAGGTTCTAGGGGCTTCCTCTGGGCATCTTCCAGGACAGTTCTACTAGGACAGAGGAGTGAATGAATATCCTGGACGCGGCCCATACCTTGAACCTGTCTACCCGTCAGTGAGTGAATGAATGATGCTGAATGTTTCCTAAATGAATGGCTCTGGCTGCTTCTTGAATGAACAATCCCGAGTGCAGCGCAGGCGGTTTTCGGAGAGAGCCATTCTTGAGACAAAGAACAGATAGGGCCTTCTAGATGAGAGCAAAGGTCGAGTCGGGGCTGCTATTGGAGTCTGAGGATGTTTTTTCTGGCCTCTGGGTTTGGCAGGTGGGGAGCAGGAGCGAGGACCCCGGAGCCATGCTTGCAGCTGGGGGATTCCCTGCTGGGCATGGGAGGAGAGGGGCACTACTGCCAGGTTGCAGGACCTCTGGCGGGCCCCAGGGTGCCCGGAGGCAGAGTAGGCCAGGTCTCTCCTACCACGCCTCTCCTGGCTGAGATGAACTGGCCTCAGGTCCCAGGGCGGAGCCACTGGCAGGCTGGAGCCAGCTCATCCCCGCACACTCTGAATTCCCTTGCAGCTGCAGCTGGAGAAGCACAAGGGGGAAATTCTGGGCGTTGTGGTCGTGGAGTCGGGCTGGGGCTCCATCCTGCCCACCGTGATCCTGGCCAACATGATGAACGGCGGCCCGGCAGCCCGCTCCGGGAAGCTGAGCATCGGGGACCAGATCATGTCCATCAACGGCACCAGCCTGGTGGGGCTGCCTCTCGCCACCTGCCAGGGTGTCATCAAGGTGGGCGCCTGCGACCCCCTTCCCGATGGTCTCCCCAGCCCCGCATCACCTGACCCGTGCGGACACTGAGGCCCAGAGATAGTCACAACTCGAACCCAAGACTACACCATGCCTGAAATCCCAGGCCGCCCGGGGACGGGGAGGGGGAGGTTTCATCTCTCTTAGCCCAGCACTGGGCCACATCTCCTCCGGGCAGAGGCCTGAGGATGTGACTGTAGGATGACCAATCCGTCCCAGTTTGCTAGAGATTAGCAGTGAAAGTGCTTTTAGGAAGCCCTTGGTCATGGCAGCCTGGGACAGAAGTTGCCCGATACAGCTGAGGGCTGGAGGCCGACAGCCTCAGGGAAGGAAGGACGTTCTGACCCACTAGTCTGTGAGCTCGAAACTTGGGGAAGTACTGCACTTCCTGTCCCTGCTCTGGCAGAGGGGATACGAGCAAGTGGGTCAGGATCTCACTGCAGCCCCATGGCCGGTCCCCAGCGTACCATGACTGTGGTACTGGAGGAGCCCCTCCCTGTCCCGCTTTCATCCCAGAGGCGAGGGGCCTTTCCAGGGCCAGACCATCCCAGGAGCCGGCTTTTGGGTCGGCCCTAGAGACCCTCAGCTGGGTGGGGGATAGCATGGAAAGGCCCTGGCTGGCCTTTGGGGACTGCAGCTCCCCAGGTTCTGTGTGCGACAGGGTTAGCCTAACGCCAGGCAAGCTAAAGCTGCACCCATAGCAAGGATCTGGCCTCTTCCCCTGCCTCTGGGACCCCCTTGGCCCTCGAACTGCAACCTGGGGCACTCACGACAGCATGTTGCTGGGGCCTGAGGTCACCCTTGGCTTCAGCCTTGATGCAGCCCAAGAGCCTCCAGCGTGCTCAGCGCTCAGTCTCCCTGAGTCTGACTCGCCCTGCAAATCCACCAAGGGAGCGCATGTGGCTTTGACAAAGGTGTCCCGCAGTCTTTTCAAAGAGGAAGTTCTGCTACTTGGAGCACGGTGACAGCCCCTGCCGTGACCCCTGAGCGTGACCCTGTGGCTCAGAACCTGGCTTCTGGCTCCGGAGTGGCTCGTTTCTACCCGGGTCATAAAGTGCATCTGAGCACAGCGGGCCACAGCGTGCGCTTCCACCCCGGTACCAGCTGCTCTCAGGGGCCAGGGCGATGCTTGTCGGGTGTGGGTACAAGTGGTGCCCGCGCCCCGGCTGTGACTCCTGTCCTGTGCCGTGCAGGGCCTGAAGAACCAGACGCAGGTGAAGCTCAACATTGTCAGCTGTCCCCCTGTCACCACAGTCCTCATCAAGCGACCCGACCTCAAGTACCAGCTGGGCTTCAGCGTGCAGAACGGAATCGTGAGTCCACCTTCCCCGCCCTAGGCTGTCTCTCCAGCGCCCGGAGGGGAGCAGGGCCGTCGTTGCTCCTGTTGGGTGAGGTGGGCTGTGCCAGCGGCCAGGCCACACGGACAGGAGCTTTCTGCGGCTCTCAGAGCAGTCCTGGTGCTTGCCGGGAAAAAAAGAGAGCCAGGTGTGGTCGTGGAAGGGGTCCCTCCAGCCCTCCGAGGGCCCCATGTCCCAGTGAGGGCTGGGCAAATAGCTGCTTTGGAAGGGAGGAGAACAGGCTTAGCGATTACGGTGGCTCGGATGCGCACGAGCAGTGCTGGCGTCAGACTTGACTGTGCTCAGCGAGTTCTTGTTCACTCACTCATTCACCTGTTCAGCCGTTTGTGAAATGCTTGTCCTGTGGAGGCTCTGGGCCAGACACCGAGGAGCAGGGGGCTCCATGGGGACGGTGGGCCTGGGCTCCAGCAAGTGTTGGTCCAGCCGGAAACCTGTGCCTTTCGCAGGCCCAGGTGGTTCAGTTCAGAGTTCCCATGTTCCGTTTGACCTGAGTGTGGCTGGAGTGAGTTCCCTTCCTTGGGGTTTCCCCCAGCAAAGGTCTCAGAGGACAGAGCGGGGCACTGACTGAGCACAGAAGAAGGGGCCAGTTATTCCTATACGGTCAAACCTACCCTGAGTACTAAGGAGCTGAGGAGGCCACGGTGTCCAGGGGAGAGGGGAGGGCGTATGTGCTACCTACAGTGTAGAGGAAAGGCCCTGGAAGAACATTCTGGAATGTTCTGGAGAGACAGCTTGTGAGAGATTCTCCAGTGTTACCCAAAAGCCAGGTTCAGGGTGCACAGAGCCAGGACAGAGCTGCAACACAGTAAGGCGGTGCTGAATGGGCAGAGGGAGTGGAGACGGGGAAGGGGAGCTCTGGTCTGTGCCTTGTGGGGCCACATGAAAGAAGCCAGTGGGAAAGGCAGGTGATCTTGTGACGCGCCCCGGTGCAGGGAGCAGGTTGAGGGGGCAGCTGAGGGAGAGGGCAGGGTGACAGGTGACAGCCATCTCCTGAGGAGGGCTGGAGGGGTCTGCGGCTAGCTCCTCATTCGCTGATGGGGGTGTCTGTGCATGAGAGGCCAGGAGGCTGTGGGCACCAGAGTTCCAGAAGTTTCGGGGTGTGGAGTTCAGGTCGCCACAGACCTAGGTTTTGCGGGACCTGGAGCTGGCGGGGAATAATGCACAACTCTGAGGATGAAATCGCAGGCCCACTCCGCAGTCACGGGCACGCAGGAGAGGAGCACCATCTGCTTCCAACACTGGTCAGGGTCCGAGAGGACTGAGGACCCAGCCGGGTTGGGCTGTGACCCCTGGAGTGTCGAGGGGCGCCACTGTGGGTGAGGAACGTACCCAGCCCAGCCCTGCCGGCTAACAAGCTGTTGTTGCACCCTCTTGCCTCAGCTTTCCCATTTGTGAAATGGGGCCCCACTTCCTCTAGGGCCTGTGCTTAGGGCTGTGGGGCAAAGCTGGGACCCAAAGGGTGGCACGTGTGGTGGCTCTTGGGGGCTTTTCCTGGGTGCATTGCCGCTCACCCTCAGTGCCCGCAAGGGTTTCTGCTGAAGGAGACTAATCAGCACGCTTCTGTGCTCACTGTGATCCATCTCCCCAGTGAGCCAGAACACGGGATGCCGGGAGTACACAAACCAGCCACACAGCTCTGCTTGGCTCAGAGGCCTCGCTGGGACACCGGGATGTCCAGGTCCCCGCGTGCCGACCCCGTCCTCTGCTCTGTCCTTGGATGTCCAAGCTCAGCACTCCGGGTGCTCAGAGACACAATCTGTCACAGCAGCTGCCACCGCCCCCACAGGCCAGCGCCTGTCCCCTGCCCCAGGCATGTCCAGTCATTTGCCAGGTCTGATGCCACCCTGGGCTCCACCACTTAGCTGGGCCTCAAGAGAAGAGGGAGTTTAGAGAAATATGCAAGAGACCTGGGGCTGCTGCTACTCAAGTCCAAGGCCCTCCCCCGCCCACAGCATGGTCAGGATGGGGCCAGGGGTCACCAGGGCTGTGGGGCAAAGCTGGGACTCAGTTTGCACCCCTCCCAGCCTCGTTAGAAGGGTCTGGCCTGGCACCATGTACTAGTGCCCACTGGTCCTGCAGCCGTTCGAGTCACAGCTCCCTCGGGTCCTGTTCTACCCTGGCCAGGTCCCCGACCTCAGTGCTTCCTCCAGCTGGCCTGGGAGAGCCACAGGGGGACAGGTGTTCTGGGAGCAGCTGGCAGTGAGCACCTGACCGTGCGTGACTGGATGGGTGTGGGGGTCGCCAGCTTGGGAAGGGCATTTGCTGGCTCGTGCACAGAGCCTGCTGGGCTCCTGCGGATTGCTGTAGAGACAGTTCCTGCGGCAGGTGGTGGGGCTTAGTGCGCAGGTGAGCAGTCAGACCAGCTGTGCCCAGAACTAGGCCAGGCTGAGTCTGGGTGTGGTGCGTGAGGGCCGGCTGAGGGGCATCCGCGCAGGGGCTGTGCGTGTGCACGCGTGTTTGGGGCGAGTGCGCCTGCCCCTCCTTGGCTCCCTGGGCACTGGCTTGGTCCTGCAGCAGCCTGTGCCTCCTGCAGAGCACGCCCCTGATGTGGCTGAGCTGCAGAATCTGCCTCTCCCTATCCCCGTGTTTCTTTTACCTCCAACTCTCCCAGAACATCTATTGCTCGTGCTCTGTTTTTTCCATAATTGTGGTAAAATACACACAACACATTTGCCATCTTGGCCATTCTGAGTGTGCGGTGAAGTACTGAGTGCAGCCAGTCTCCAGAACTCCTTCCGTCTTGCAGGACTGAGTCCCTGTCCCCAGAAACAGCGAGAGCGCCCTGTTCCCCGTCCCCAGCCCCTGGCAGCCTCTGTGCTGCTTCTTACAGTGAATTTGGCTAACTCTGGGTGCCTCATGCAGGTGGACCTGAAGCCGGGCGTGGTGGCGCACGCCTGTCATCCCAGCACTCGGGAGGCTGAGGCAGGAGGATTGCTATGAGTTCGAGACCAGCCTGGGCTACATAGTGAGCTCAAGTCCAGCCTGAACTGCATAGCAAGACCCTGTTGCAAAAAAAGACAAAAATAAATAAATAAATAGATGTAGGTGGACTCAAATAGCATCTGTCCTTTTGCGACTGGCTTGTCCTTCTCAGTGCTTTGTCCTCAAAGTTCATTCACCTTGTAGCATGTGTCACAATGTCCTTCCGTCCCTTTTAGACTGGATGATAGTCCGCTGCATGGATGCTAGGTTTTATCCGTCCCTCCCTCTACCCATCCCTCCCTCCCTCC